TTTTTTCAGGACTCTGTTGGGTTTGCTCCCTGGTTTCTTTGGCTTTGATGTCATAGTGGCTAATACAATAAGAAGAGGTGTCAGCCCTTCAAGAAAGAGGACCCTGGGACAAGCACGCTTCCACCTTTACATAGTTGCTTGCTCCTCCTCGGGGTTGGGTTCTCTCTGAAAACTGTGGCTGTTTCTCTGAAAATGCAGTTAAAATGGCAATCTTTCCATCTTAATATGTGATCTAGACTTGGCCATCAAAATGATTGTTGGAAACAGGAAATTCTCACGGGGAGAAAATCAGGTACTTGATTCTTGTTGACAAAATGGGAAATCTTCCTTCCCAGCCTATCAGCAGCAGTGCTGTGGTGTGGATGATAAAGCATCTGCTGCAACTTCTGTGACCAGAGACTCAGAAATCCCCGAGTGTGGGGGGTGCCAGACATTCTTGACAGAAGGCTCCTTCAATCAGTTACATGGGGCTCCCGGTTTGCAGATGGCAACAGGAAAGGGGTGGGGACTGTTCTCATCTGCTCCGGCTGCCATCCCAAAGTGCTGCAGACTGGGCGGCTTCAACAACAGGAAGTTAACAGCTCTCTACTGGGGCATATTTTAGTCTTCTAAGGAGATGGAAAAGTGCCCCCTTTCATGACTGTGTCATTAGTGTTTGTTTTAATATTACATTTTGAAACTAACCTCTCCCAGCTTGTACCCAGCCTCTGAGGAGCCTCTGAGATCCCCGAGGGCAGGAAGGATGGTCCTCTCATCACTTTGCTTGCCTCCACCACACATGGCCTCATGAGAAGGAGGGCCAAGAAATACCTCCTGCCGCTTGCTCTGTGAGAGTCTCTGTGCTAGACAGTGGGTCTTATGTTGATTGAAATAAGGTGATTGTGGTCTCCATGACAGGAGAGTGAAACCTGCACCCAACAGGGGAGGCCCAGGCCCAGGTTTGTTTTACAAAGCTCACTCTAGCAGCTGAGTGCGTGGTGGGCTGGTGGGGTGGAGGCTGGAGGAGTGGCTGCCTTGGGGATGCAGGACTGTGAGCCACTGTGGGGGTCAGCAGCTCCATCTTTAAAGTTTGTCCTGTCAATGCTCCCTATAATGTAGGCCAAATTGCCTCATTTTCCTAAACCTGTTTTAAAATGTAGACATAGTGAAGGAAAATCTTTACATTTGGGGTTCAGGGACTTCAGAAGTTTGGGGTTTGTGTTGCAGAGGGGCCCCTCCCCTTATCCTGCTCCTTGCTCCAGCGTCATTGGATTTCGTCCTACAGAAGCCAGGGCGACTCCCCTGGAACCTGAACCAGGGCAGAGCAGCAACAGCAGATGCATCAGACTGATGCCACAGATAGGGGGCAGGGCTTAGCTGGATCGCAGGACGTCTCACCTCCCCACCAAGCACAGACAGAGCTACTGGCAAGTGCACATTCACCAGGATAATGACTGTGTCTTGCTGAATATTTGCATTTTTAATAGCATTAAAGGAAGTTTTTTCACATCATCCCCTCTCATGGGCCTATTACATAAATCCACATCTTTCTCCAGACAACTCCCTTTTAGCATACCAGAACTGACATTCCTTTTTTCTGTGTATATAGCATATTTCTTCTGTGATTCTCTATTGATTTCGATCCTTAGAAAACTCTGGAAAATGAAAAAGACTTTGCCTACTTTCTGACTATCTGATCCAAGAGCATAGGTCAAATTTGGATACTTTTTTTTTTTAAATAAGAATAGAGGCTGAAATAAGAAACTGGCAAAGATATAAATGAAATTCAGAAAGTCATATATTACTTTCCTGAAACAAAGAAAACCTACTGTGGGTGGGGGGTGGGAGGTGGCTTTGGTGCTTGTACATCAATTGGCCCATAAAGCACTGCTGCATGCCCAGTGTTTACATAAACTTCAGTTTGAGGTTGGGATTTCTCAGGGCTGAACACGTGCAGCTTCCTGCATTTCAGCTGTTTCTTCAAAGGCAAAGCCCCGTTCATTTTAAACAGAAGAATGTGGCACACAGAACTCTCTCTCTCCTCTCTCATTTTTTTTTTTTTTTGACAGGCAGAGTGGACAGTGAGAGAGAGAGAGAGACAGAAAGGTCTTCCTTTTGCCGTTGGTTCACCCTCCAATGGCCGGTGCACCGCGCTGATCCGAAGGCAGGAGCCAGGTGCTTCTCCTGGTCTCCCATGGGGTGCAGGGCCCAAGCACTTGGGCCATCCTCCACTGCACTCCCTGGCCACAGCAGAGAGCTGGCCTGGAAGAGGGGCAACCGGGACAGAATCCGGTGCCCCGACCGGGACTAGAACCTGGTGTGCTGGCGCCGCAGGCAGAGGATTAGCCTATTGAGCCGCGGCGCTGGCCTCAGAACTCTCTTAATCAAAGTGTGGCAGCTTTCATGAACTTTCGTGATATGAAAATGACTGACAAATCTCATTTGTCTCTACTTTCTTTGTGGTTGAAAGTCAAGTTAGTTCTGTGCCACAGGCTAACTCCTTGGTGATAAAATGGCAGAAATGGTGATAAAATGGCAGAAAATGTGACTTGAGAAACTATGGAAGGTTGGGATAACAATATAGAAAATGCATCTGTCCCTCTTCTCTGCAGGAAAAAATTCTACCAGTTGAGTAATAAATGCATTTCCCTGTAGTTCTACATAAAAGATCCCTGCACACTAATAATTACTGAGATCTTTGAAACATCACAGTGATCTTGTGACATGCACACAAGCTGCTATGTGAGGTTACTTCAAAGAGTTCATACATAAATACCATTAAAAGATGAGTTTATTTGGTGCACCGTCCTTTCATAAGGACTTTTCATAAGTGCATTTTCAAGATCTTTTTGAAGACTCATTGTATGCATGGATTTCAGAAGTCTGTGTACCTTTCTATACCTATTTAAGGCTGTAGCTTTACATACACCTGTGGGGTCCACAGCATTGGGCTACTAATCATAATCCTTGGCTTCTGACATTCATCTGTTATTCACCCAGGGCCTGGTCATTTATTTAGTTGGTTGGTTAGTGAGCTATTAGTAATGCAACAAGCATCTATAAAACCATAACCCAAAATAATAGCTATGACTTTGGCATAATCTAGGTATGTGGCAATACCTTTTCCCACCTTTGCTTCCTGTCTAGGAGACACAGCCATCAATCTGAATCCTGTGCTTGCCAGTGTCTTGCTCCCCTTTTGATATGATGTAGTAATTGCATTTGTTTATAGTCCTATAAAGTATATTTTAATTTTATTTGTGCTTCATTTAGAATCTTTGGGACATACTGTTTGCATGTAATGCTTTAGTGTTGTTAGAGTTCAGCAATTTTGAAAATGTTAGTATGTGACCAAACCAGTTTATTTTCTACTTTCCATTTGACAGGGTTTTGGGTTGCTTTCCAGGTTTGCCATTGTGCACAGGGAAGCTATCAGCATTCTCATACATGCCCCTTCTTGTACATTTGCAAGAGTGGAATTGCTGGGTTCCACCCCATGGAAATTGCTCAAATACATAAAACACTGACAATGTTTAATATTTTGCATGATTCCCCCATATATATTTATGTATTTGAATGAACCATGCTGCTCAAATTGACATTTACCAAAATTAAAAAGCAATATTTTCCTTGTGGTATTTTTTTTCAAAAATATTTAAAGGAAAACAATGCTTTTCTTTCACAAGAACATTATATAAGTATATACAAAATGGGAATGTTTTAGATCATACAAGATCTACAACCAATACAACTCATAAACTGAGACAAGCAAAAACATCACCATTGAGGTAGAAATTACACCTTTAATGGGGCATATCTATCTGGTGTCCAGGGGAAGATTAGCTTCTAAACATTGGGGGCTGGTGTTGTGATACACCATTTAAGTCACTGCTTTTGAAACTGACATCCTATATCCCAGCTGTTCAACTTCTGATCCAGCTCCCTGCTAATGCATCTGGGAAAGCAGTTGAAGATGGCCCAAGTGTTTGGGGCCCTGCCACCTCTGTGGGAGACCTGGATGGAGTTCAGTTCTGGACTCCTGGCTTTGATCTGACCTAGCCCTGGCTGTTGCGGCCATTTGGGGAGTGAACCAGTAGATGGAAGATTCTCTCTCGCTCTCGCTCTCTCTCTTTCATTCTGACTTTGCCACTCTGCTGTTAAAATAAAATAAAAAAAATTTTTTTTTTATTATTTTTTGACAGGCATAGTGGAGAGTGAGAGAGAGAGACAGAGAGAAAGGTCTTCCTTTTGCCATTGGTTCACCCTCCAATGGCCGCCGCAGCCAGTGCGCTGCGGACTGCACACCACACTGATCCGATGGCAGGAGCCAGGTGCTTCTCCTGGTCTCCCATGCGGATGCAGGGCCCAAGTACTTGGGCCATCCTCCACTGCACTCCCGGGCCACAGCAGAGAGCTGGCCTGGAAGAGGGGCAACTGGGACAGAATCCGGTGCCCCGACCGGGACTAGAACCCGGTGTCCCGGCGCCGCAAGGCGGAGGATTAGCCTAGTGAGCCGCGGCGCCGGCCCAAAATAAATCTTAAAAAACACTATAATACGTTGAATTAGGAGCCCATGTTGTAGACATTGAGGCCCAGATGTTAACTAGACCCTGTTTCTAAAGGTTCAGCTGTGGGGTTCTTTTCTGCATACAGGAGAATCTTTCTTGGGGCAAAAGCCCTCCCATGGACTTTGTCTTTAATGGAAAGAGGGACATTCACCTTCAGTCAGCCAATCAATGTCATCCTTGGCCACCTATCAGGAGTCACCAGCAAACACTATTACCGGAGATTTTGAAGATTCTTTCACCAGATGCTGTCATCCTGTTCAGTGTTGTGATTTAACAATTACTTCTCTGGTTCAGCTATTGTTTGACTTCATCTCTGGACCAACATGTGTACATTTGCATTTTGAAAAAAGAGCCATTTTTCTTATCTAATGGAAAACCACCAGAACTGAAACAAACTGGTTTCCTCAGGTTATGGTTCCCATGAGGTGACATGCTCGCAGGCAGTGTCCTTACCTTCACGTAGAGCTGCTGAAACTCCTCGAGGTTCAGCCTCCCGCTCGGACAGTCCTTGAGGAAGCCCTTGTACCACTGCTTGAGCTCATGCTCATTGAACTCCGTGCTCTTCACCAGGTCCTCCATGACTTCGGGGGCCAGTTTGCTATTCTGCTTCCCCATTCTGCCTGAAGGAAAGCAAATTGATGCAATTAGCTGTGGCTTTGGTCATTTCAAACTTGATTAGGAGCCAACCTAGAGTTCTTGGTGGGAACTCCCTCCAATGTGTCTGATCAAGTCTCCCCAAGCCTGCCTCTACCTATTTGCTGTCATAGGAAAGATCAGAGGGAAATAGACTCTTGTATCAGTGGGAAGGGCTGTAGAACTCACCCTCCTCATCTTCATGTCATTTTCCATATGACATTGACTCCAGAGTGGAAAGACAGTCATCTTTTTTATGCTAGGTCAAAGGAATCCATTTTTCTTCTCCTTTTATGAATTACAATTCATTAGCACCTGCTGCCCAGGTGTCTAATTCTACATTTAGTTACATGAAATGGGATTACTGACAAGAATAATAAGAAGGCTTTATAATCAAATGATCAAGAAATGCTTGGAAAATTGATCAGCAATTGTAGGGAGTCTCAATTAGTACAATAAAGTTACAGCACTTATTTTAATGAAAACAGCTCATTTTTTAAAAAGTCATATTAATTCCACTTCACCTCTCATCTTTGCACATTCCTACAGCATTCTCTTCAGAGTTGATAATCTCTTTGTTTACTCTAGGGATTGGTTGGTCAAATTTGTGGTGATATAATTTCAGATTGCTATTATTCTGGATAGTAAAGGAAAATAACATTGCATTAAATTATGACACCTACAGTAATTATGTGGCAGGTTGTGTGGCCAACATCACAGTAGAATGTAGTGGAATAGGGCATATTTGGAATCATTCCTTATCTTGGTTCCTGAGTTGGCCATTTATTATATACATCTGTGTTATTTAGAACAATATTAATAAACTCTGCTATCTTTAATTTCTTTGCTAATAAAGCAGAGATAATAATATTCTTTCAGATTTATCTGGATGGCTAATTAAAAAATAAGTAGATAAACAAGGACCAAAAATACTCCAAAAGGAAAAAGGTGTTGCATTAGTGAAGGAAAAATAAGGATAATTATAAAAAAAAGTCCTTGGGCCCTGCACCTGCATGGGAGACCAGGAAAAGCACCTGGCTCCTGGCTTCGGATCAGCGTGGTGTGTCGGCCGCAGTGGCCATTGGAGGGTGAACCAACGGCAAAGGAAGACCCTTCTCTCTGTCTCTCTCACTGTTCACTCTGCCTGTCAAAAAAAAAATTCCTTTTAATTCTATCTTTTTGAGGATAAAACATAATCAATTAACCAAAAATTGATCTAAAAAGTCAAGTTAAACTTGAAAAAAATCTGAAAGACCACCGAAACAAACAAAGTATGAGATGATCTCTGTAAGCTGGTGAGAGCATTCTGAATCAGGTTTTGAGGAATTTACCCAAGTGGATCCAGGCTTCCCAGGAGCTTGAGACAAATTCTCTCCTAGGCTCTAGGCAGGTTTCCACTTGCAACAAACCAGAAGGGATAATCTCATCACATACTATTGTCACTATTTTTTTTTTTTTACCTTCTCCTAAAACTGGTTCCACACCCATTGGCAGCTTCTTGCCCTACATTGAGCAATTCTTTCACTGTAATGAAAGCAAAGCACTCTGCTTTCAGGGATCATTTCCACGGCCGCACCCTCCCAGTAACACACAATGTGGCTCCATGAGACCTTTAAGATGAGCATTTATCTTCCAAATGCTCATCTTTCAGAGAAAGGACCTGAGGATCTGCGACAGTGCCCTCATTATGGTGCATCTCTACCTATTTTTGTTCTTAATTTCAAGCTCCAACTCTGTTATTAGCAACTGTCTCTTAATTATAGGTTACTGTGGGATTCCACAGCTGGATATGGAGATCAAGTGGGTACTCAGGAGTCAAGTTTAATTAATCTGGGTAAGAAAACTGTAATTCATAGTTATCCTGAAAATCAGGAGATGTATTGCCAATTCTTTCTTGCTTTGGCCTTTTTGGTAGAGAATGACAAACTTGATTATCAAACTAGAATTTCACCTAGCAGTATGGGGTATTGAAAATTAAGGTTGGAGAAGGTGCTATATAAAGCACTTCACAAACTATCTTTAACTCCAGGACAACTAAGCAATAGGGATTTGGGAAGCTCCCTGAGGCTGAGAATACTTTGGTAGCTTGTACATGATTGCACAATGCAGTTCCATGAATACATGCAGTTCCAGAATTTGAACTTGGAGCTACAAGACAACAAAGCATGACCATAGATAAATAAGTGAAGAGAAGGCATTTTAAGATGAGGAATGAAAGCAGCAAAAGCAAGAAGGTCTGAAACAGCTGAGTCACTGCCAAGAAGGGATAGAAGTGGGATCCATCACTTGGCAGACTGGCTGCCTTGTTTGGAAAACACGGTTAGAAGAACCAAAACCGAAATCTCAGAAGTGACTTTATATTAATGATGGGAAGGTGGATTAAAGATTAAGAAAAAGCACCCCCCCCCAAGTACTTTACAAGTTCAACAACACATCAGTTCTGTTGGGCAAGAAAGCTTGGATTCTCCATGGATCATTTATGAAGTCTCAAACCATTCTGGCTGAGTGGGAGGAGGGTGGTCTCGGACACAGAGTGTTGCCAGGATCATGAATCACAGGTTTGGAGACTCAAATCCATGACTTCATGCCTTTTGGTTACATGTTATAGTCAGTACCTTCCCCCAGGTGACTGGTGATGGGTGGATCACACAGAAAATCAAAGTCTAGCCTGGCTCAGGGTGGTGCTCCAGTTGCCCTCATCTGGCCTCATCTGTTCTTACCTGGATCAGCTCCATCCCTGGGCTCCCTGGCTCCAACACACCCTCCACATGTCTGCCTCAGTGAGTTTCTGAAATATACGCCTGGCCATCTGATTAACTCCCTAAAATCCACAATTTTTCTCCTGTGTCCTCAGCACGCAATTCCATCTCCTTCACATGGCACAGGTCCTGCCTATCAGTATCCTTATTTTCTGCCTGTCTTTTCACTCCACGTGCCAGCAATAATTAGCTGTTGCTGTTTTTAGAATTTGCATGCATCTGCACTATCACGGCCCCGCATGTGCTGTTCTCTCTTCCTAGCACGACTCCCACTTTGTCTTCTCAGCAGACATCATCCCCTTGGTTAAGTAGTCTCAGCTCCCTTCCCACCTCCTCTGAGAAACTCTCATGGTGGACTTAGACACCATTTGTTCTTGATATCGCCCATCCCTGGGTAAGCTTTGATGTTCATGATTTATTTCTCTACTGGACTGCAGGTTTCTTGTCTGTTATCAACCTTTGTTTCCCTGGTAATTTATCCTAAGTGCCAACAAATTTTTTTGAGGCTATGAATAAATGAGGGGGACTGAGGCATTTGGTATATTTCTTCCCAGGAAAATCCATCTCACATTCTATATGAGAGGGGAGTCAATGCAATCATAAGTATAACTGAGTCAGCAGGTGGGAGACACGTATCATTTAACTCTGGGAGGCAGCCAGTCCCCCCTGGAGATTGGCTCACTTGTCTTCATCACTAAATTTTGAACACCTTGAAGGCAGGCCTGCGTCCTTTTACCTCAGTGTCCTCAGTAACTGGCATGAAAGTGTTGCCTAGTAATGTGTGATAAATGAAAGGAAGTGTGGGCGGACTACTGCTCCCATTTTACGCCTGCTGTTGCAGGCTGCAATGATACCAGTCAAGTAGTGTCTTTCATTAGGAGGGGCAGGGTGACGGAAAGGACAAAAGTGACAGTAAGTCTTACAACATCTCCTGTAAAGAGACACCAAGACATAATCTGAGAAGTATTCACGTCAGTTCTGCCTTCAACGTACTTTGTGATCTTGGGCAAATCCTTCCCTCCTCCTCACTCAGTTTCCCATGTGAAAAATGAGCAAGTTGGAGCAGAGGATCTTTAAGGCCCTTCCAACTCCACTATTCACTGATTTGCAACATGGATTTTACAGCCATGAAAACGTGAGTCAGACTTGAGATGGGCTGGTCTCAGCACCTGCTGACTCTGCAAATTCCTTACCTGAGAATCCTCCTCCTGCACTTGAGTGCTATTACCCAGGAAGGGAGGGGAATGTAGACTTTTAAGCTGAGGTCACAGACTGTAACATCGAAGCCAGCTCAGCCCCAAACTCAAAAGACTTTCTCATTGCTTGAGTTGCAGTAGTGAGAAGCCCAGGGCTGGGCACAAAATAGTACTGACATACAGTGGGCAAAAGAACTCCATTTGGACTGAGCCCTGGGACAGGAGAGCCAGTACTGTGACTTAATTCAAATGATACTTGGAAAAGGTATCATTTTTGTTTAGAAAATACTTTTGTGCAAAGGAATTTACCCATATAACACTGCCATAAAAAAGAGAGTTATTATTCCCATTTTACTGATGGGAACTTTGAGGGACAGAATGATTAATATACCCCAGCTCAACCAGCTAGTAATGTCTTAGTAAGGGATAGGGTATTTCTTTCCTCTTTTGCTTTCCTAATGCAAGCTATTATCTTCTCTTGCAACCATCTCCAAGCTGGCCGTCTTGCCTTGAGTTTTCGTTTGCTGCTCATCCTTGTCTTCCCCTGTATTGATAACAAGTTCCAGGGAGGAAGAGGTCATCTGCCCTCTGGAGACAACCAGGAGAACTCCCTGGAAGAAGTAGAGACAATGAGGGACCAAGAAGCACACATGGGGGCCGGCGTTGTGGTGCAGTGGGTTAAAGCCCTGGCCTGAAGTGCCGGCATCCAATGTGGACACCGGTTTGAGTCCCGGCTGCTTCTCTTCCAATCCAGCTCTCTGCTATGGCCTGGGAAAGCAGTAGAAGATGGCCCAAGTCCTGGGCCCCTGCACCCATGTGGGAGACCCGGAAGAAGCTCCTGGCTCCTGGCTTTGGATTGGGTGCAGCCCCAGCCATTGTGGCCATGTGGGGAGTGAACCAGTGGATGGAAGACCTCTCTCTCTGTCTCTACCTCTCTCTGTAACTCTTTCAAATAAATAGAATAAATCTTATAAAAAAGAAGCACACATGAACATCTCTTCTCCACAAACTCTGGGTATTAGAGAGGATCAG